CTTTTCCTTACCCAATCAGATTTAATTCATTTTTAGTAAGGTTTTAAGGGTCTAATACTATTTGGTTCAGTTTTATAATTCTAATATATGCCTAGGGTTTTAGTTGAGAGTTCAAGAAGAGAAAAGAAGAGAAAAAAGGAGAAAAGAGGAAAGGATCAAGCCGTTCATCAAAGTTCTTGAGTTCTATTATGGATTTTCGCCATGGGTTTGATCCCTAAGAGGTATGTAAGCTTCCATAGTATTGGTTTTGTTCACCCACACGCCAATCATGTTATTTTCCGCGCAAATTTCATTCTTGAAATTGAAAGATCAGAGTTCTTGATGAGTCCTTGATATGTGTTCTTGAAGTTCATTTTAAATCTTGTTGTGTTGGGGTGTTGATGATTTCTTGAGATGTAAGTGTGTTTTGAGGGATGTATATAGTAGATTAGAGTGTACTTATGTTAAGTAATCGAATCCAAGTGATTGGGGAAGAAACCATTCAATTCTAGGCGAATTAGGGTGAGAAAATGAGCAAATAAATTCATCGGGTTTTCTGGGTTGGGGCCTGATGCGTTGCACCAGCCAGAGAACCTCAAACCCTCTTCTGAAGTTTAGGGGCTGGCGCCCCGTGCCACTCAGTGTGCCAGGGTCGCCTACCCCATCCAGTTTGTCGTCGGTTGCTCCGTTTGAGTTCGTTTAAAAGGCACATTCACTCCCATTCAATTCTAACTATTCTAAGCTACTTCTAGAAGTTCATGGTTTACCTTCGGCAAGTAGGAAAACCCTTTTCGGTGTGGGAGACACCGGGGGATCATGGTATAGCTCATATGGTATCTACGTCGGTTAAGGCTAATTTCCCACAACAAGATGAATAATGTACTAAGGTTACTTCAAGAAGTATCCATATGAGATTAAAGGTTTTAAAGATGATCCTAGCTTGCATTGACCATGTTTTATGAATAATATTTTCTAACTCCTACTATGTTATGTTTTAACTTGGTAATTGCATGTTATGAAATGAAATATCCCTTTTAGCATGTTTTAAATGTTTTATGCATGGCTATCATACTTAGTGCATTTTTGTACTAACACATACTCTTGCCTACATTTTCCCCAAATGTAGGGCCTGACAGTCAGGTTCATTAGTTTCCTGGCTAAAGGTTGACTTGAGATATTTTTGAGCTTTCGTGAGTCCTCATGTTTCGAGGACGGGCTTTTATTGTTTTAGTTCCTTTTCATATATTTCTCTTTTGGACATGATGTATGGGCTCGACCCAATTTCATTCAATTGTAGTAGATGGCTAAATGAGACATAATGTCTAGATTTCCGCTTTTCTTTATAAAATGTTTGGTCTTGAATATTGTTTCTCTTATTGTTCTATTTCTTATGTGATGAGAGCTAAGTGTCTTGTATGGAGTCCTTCGGGGTTCTATACGCTATGTTACATCTAGGGGGTACCCCTGGGTCATGAAACAATAGTAATTTACATCATTGATGATGTTTCAGTGGCAGAGCCATGCTCTTCGTCAAGGGTGTTCATACTTTAGGACAAGTAAAAAGGTAAACCTTGTTTGTCAGATTATAAAGATTGGCTACAAAATAGTCATACCTCAATTATTGATTTCTACATATTGCTCCAAGTTGTTCATACTTGTCATGCCCCGAGGCTACACCCATGACGTAACACGGGACCTAGGATTACGAATGAACCCAAGCTCGCCCTGAGCTGGCATATCATAAACATATAAATAATTTACTAAAATAGAATATACTATGTGGACGCTTATATCAAGAGATAAATTGAAGAGATGGGGAATACCCAATACTATCTGAATATAAAATTGAATATGAGTTTAATAACAACTGAAAGATCAAACTCAATCTAAAGATGATTCTAACTATGTCTGAAATAAGCCTCTAACTGACTAGAGATGCTCGGACATGCCCCAGCTAACTCTAGCAAAATTGAAACTAAATAAAGAGTCTGAAATAGAAAATATATTTGTTTTCCTCAGAGATTAAGGACTCACCATTGATGCTGCTGAATAGGGATCGGGAACCAATCTACATGCGATATGAATGCTGAGGAGTTGAACCTACATCACGAGAAGATGTAGCGCAGAGTATGCGTCAATACTTGAAAGGTACTGAGCATGCATGACATAACTGAACAAAGTAATAAGAGTAATGATATAATCTGAACTAACTGTAAATACTGAAATATACTGAAGACTGAGCTAACTAAATGCAATGACCAAAACTAAAACATGTTGAGACTGAATACTAAACTATAACTGGTAACATGTACTAGAGTCTGACTGTGGGAGCTACTATTAACCGACATAAAGCCACGAGAGATATCCACGGAGTCCGATGTATACTCCCCATCGAGAGGACACAATATACCTTGCCAAGGGTATAAAGGCATGACTGGCGTGATCACTAAATATGTTGCCCACAGAAGGGACTTATACCTACTGGGGAACATAGTTCTGGGACTATGAGGGTGACTGACCCTAGTCCACTCGGTGTTAAGCCTATTCCCAACTTAATATGTAAGTAACATATTATAACTGAATTTCTGTATTACTGAATAGCTCAAAATACTGACATGCTATCTGAAAATGCAACATTTATGTATTGATAATGAAACATTCTTAACTGGGTCATGTATATTTGTATAAACTGACCTAGCAAGTGTAATTCATCAACTAAACAAATCTAAACAACTAGGGTTCTGAATTACATGCAAGAATTGAGCAACATAGTTACGCAAACGTAATATTCTGATTAGGATTAATCTAGTAGCTAAATCACAACAATAATCTGAAGTTCTAGAAACCCTAGGTTTAAACATGATATCGAGAATCAAGAATCTGACTGAATTCTAGGGACCTAATAGGTGAAAGGAACCCACTAGTGAAATCCCACATACATAGTGATGAATTTCACGGAGAAATCTTTTGATTTCGGGGTTGGAACTGGAGGAAAACTTGATGCGTTCTTGTTAAGGGGTTTGGTCTACTCTTTCTCTTCTCTTCGTTCAAATTGGAAGAAATTTAGAGAATGAATTGACTAGGGTAAGTTTTGATTCAGTTACTATGCTAAAGCTGACCAAAACGACGTAGTTTAGGGGTTAAACGACGTAGTTTAGGTGTCCAACACATAAGGGAAAGACCAAACGACCCCTGATTTAAAAGCTGTCTGGGCCAACCGACGGACCGTCGACTGACCTACGGTCCGTCTTGGTCACTCGTCGACTGGCTTCAGAGAGATGGGATTTTGGGGTCTGAACCACGGCCTGGACCATGGACCGTGGTCCCACCTACGGTCCATAGGTCCTAGCGTGAGTCTACCCTTGGCTGAAATTTTTTGGATTTCTGGAGAGGGGCTGCAGGAGGACAACCACAGACCCCACCTACGGTCTGTAGGTGGCCCTGTTGGTGGCGCCTACAACTTCTAAAACCTGCATTTCTGGTCCGTCTAGACTACGGGGTGTTTCAATACTCTTTACCTGTTTAATATCAAATTAACCAACTATCCAAAATGAAAATTCTTAAAATGGAAACTTACAAAATATCAATGGATAAACTAACGAAGATGATGTAGGACAAATATATGACAGATAGTTTCATGCACACCAAAATATGTAAAGTGGCAACTACAATTGCACTCGACGACACTTCATCTCTTGAAATGTTTTCATAATACACTAATTAGAAACATCTTTAAATACTTTTTTTCTCTACATAAGACACTATGCAACCATCTATAGAATTCATCATCTATTCGATTTTGCAAGTCATCTTGATAATCTTTATTGCCGAAAAAGCTCTTTCAACAGTAGCAGTGGCAACAGGTAGAAGCAAAGCAAACTTCACTAAAACAAATACGAGAGAATAGTTTAAATGCTTCTTTGTCTGAACCAACTTTCTTGAAAGTTCCCTAAGTCCGCCAAAATTGGAGAACCATTCATCAATATCACGAACATCAATAATGTAGTTAATAAGTTGATTCTTAAGAGCTCTCATGCTGGACTCATCAAAGTCATCAAGATATAATTCAGCCATTCTCATTATCTTCTTTATGTCAAAACAAGAAAATGAATCAAGTGGATCAAGAAAGATACTCCATTAAGCAAATCACTTGTCACCTCATTGAAATGGTCATTAAGTTTTTGTAGCTGCCAATCAATGATTTTATAAAATACATCCACACGATAATTGTTCAAAGTAATACAAATAACTACTTTACGTCGTGATCTCCCAGAATTAGCATATGGATCATCAAAATTGGGTAATGAAATGCCATGGTTGATACAAAATGCTTGTACCTTTTCTTTAAGTGAATCCCCACCAATATTTTTTGAAGAGAGGATCCCATTCATTATCTCTTAAAACTTGCAACCTTCTCTTCGCTACTTTTACAAGAATCATGGCATCTGCCGATCCCATTCATTATCTCTTAAAGCTTGCAACCTTCTCTTTGCTACCTTTACAAGAATCATGGCATTTGCAATGTCTTGCTCCTTTTTCTGTAATGAAACATTAAGATCATTTGGGACTCCTAAAACATCAGTCATCAAATGCAACAAGAAAATAGTCTCAAACGTTTGACAACTTCTGAGAAATCCCGATGCGCTTTCTATTTCTTCCAAAGTACCTGCATTTACAACAAGAGTATCAAGTAAATAAACAATAGAGTCAAAGTTACTAATAAAGTTTCGAAATGACGTGTAGTGAGATCCCCAACGAGTATCACCGGCTTTAACAATACCAAGTTCTTGGTTCAACCCTCTACCCGTTTCTAGTTCACCCATATCCAATGCTATTCGGAGATACTTTCTTTGAGATTCTCAAAAATTATCCTCACATTAAAAATAAGCTCCCAAAACATTCAAAATATTTGAAATTAATAATACAAGTTCACCAACTTCAACACACTTTTTAGAAATCGGAACAAAAGTCAATTGAAGTTGATGAGCAAAACATTGAACAAAATGAGCTGATCTACTTTCTTATCTAATCAACGTTTTAAGACCACCTAGATAACCTTTCATATTGCTTGCCCCATCGTAACATTTCCCACGTACATTAGATAAAGTCAAAGAATGGTGAGCAAGTACATCTACAATTGCCTCCTTTAGAGATAAATCACTAGTATCATTAATATGAACAAGTCCAATAAATGCCTCCATCACAAACCCCCTTTTGTCAACATATCTTAGAAAAATAGCCATTTTCTCTTTGCGTGACACGTCTCTAGATTCATCAACCAATAAAGAAAAGTAGTCACTATTTATATCCTCTATTATAGCCTTAACTGGTGCAATCTTACACGCAGTCACAATATCTTTTTTGATGTCATTAGAAGCCATTTTATTATTTTTTGGAGTTTTTTCTAACACAAAAGTTTTAATTTCATCACATCTAGCAGCATACCAAGAAATAACTTCAAGAAGATTACCCTTGTTCAATAACGATTCACTCTCGTCATAACCACAAAATACAAAACCTTGATTCAAGAAAAGTCTTACCACATCGATTGAAGTGTTTAAGCTAACCCGATATTCATGCTTACTTTTATCATCCAACTTGTAAAATGCGTCTTGAATGGATTGTTGTTCTCGCATAAGATCTTCACACTTTCTTTTGGATTGATTGTGAACACTATTCCGTTGACCAATATGTGTAGCAAACCTATCCTTTCTTTGCCAATTTGTAAATCCCTTAGTCGAAAATAGAGTAACACCACCTTGATTAATGTTTTCTCCGTGAAATAAATAACAAGGTAAACAATAAGTAGCATCCGCATCAATACTGTATTCCAACCAATCACGATATTCATCAAACCACGTATAAACAAAACAACATCGTGTTCCAAAAGAACCAGTTTGAGGAAACTGATGAGTTCGAGGTTGACAAGGAGCTTTAATGATGTATTCCCCACTTATCTCATCACGAAGGTTTGGATGATAATTCAAAATTGGAGTTGTTTCAATCAGATCAGCCTTTAAATCATTTACATTAAATTCTTGTCTTGGGGAAGAGTGAGATGGTATTTCTATTTGGTAGACATTTTCATTCTGCCGTAGTTGATTTTGATTTTGAGGCGCCAAACTTTGTTTGTCCACTCTAAAAAAATATTTCTCCAAGCTCATTGAACTCCAAACTGAAATAGCAGTCAAGTGTACCAACTTATTAAAAATCAATCCACAATACACCAAATATTTGATCGATACTCGAATAAATAAAGTAGCTTTCAACATAAAAATTAAGATAAACAAAATCAAACTAAAGGAAAAAAAGAATTAAGAAATACTTTTCACACTTCAATGACGGTTGAGGAAGAAATATACAATGATTAAAGTTTCCAATTTCTTAAAACTTGCAAATATGTGTGAAAATTGAGAAGAGAGAAAGGTAAAGAGTAAAGTTATAAAAGGTTTTTGGGAGAAGGGGAAGACAAAAAAACTAAAAGGAAAAGACAAATAACTATGAATCTATTCTTTTTTAAATTAAGAAAACTCAAAAGAAGACCTTTTGTTTTTCTTAACTTAAAAAGGGTCACTTTTATACTCTTTTTTAAGAGAAAACGAAACAAAAATAAAATAAACGAAACGCTCAAGCCGAGGCTCGAACCCAGACCACAAAAGCCTGAGTTTTGCCTTTTTTAAGAGGAAAAACGGAATAACAAAAAAATTAAACAAAAATACTAAACCCGAGCTCAAACACGGAACACTAAGGCGGCTTTGCACAGCCTTAACCGCTGGGTGTCTACCTTTATTGTGTCAAGGGTGTTCAGCAATTAGTATATATCCAAAAATATCGATATTTTGTATATATACTCACAAATATTTTCCGACGAAGGTTGTTCATCTGACCACCCTCGCCAAGTCATAGCTCTGCCCTTGCTAGAGATATATAGCCGACTTAACGACAAAGCCACACCTTTTGTTTTTCACAATTGCTTATCGTTTCATTTGATACTGTTGTTCATCTTGTATTCCTAAGATACTTAGAACAAAACTTTGAAGAACTTGGTAAGACACAATAAAGTTTAAGAACATTTTCACAACTAGAAAATTAAAACTAGTAGAGAAACTAGAATCAGAAACAGATTAGAAAAAATATACGAAATATTTTTTCTTAAAGAAGAATTGTTGTCAATCTGTGTTTAAAGAATCTTACTGATTCCAATAAACTTTGCAGAAACACGAAGTTACCAAAGTTTAATGAACCAGTGAAGAACAGAAGAACATAAATTAATTCACAAATCTAAAATCTGTAACACATACCAGAATTTGGAAAAACAGAAAGAAGATCAAGCCCACTGAATGCACAGTGTCCCCTTAAGGAAATTATTCCCCTCTAGTATCCGAGGTTTGATTTGGAATATGTCCTCCCAGGATAGAATGATCTCAATCACCAGTGTATT